ATTTTATATTTTTAAGTCATAATTAAAATAATGTCATAACTACAAAAAAAAATTAGTCATAATTAAAGTAAAAAATGGAATAACTAGGAGTGTATATAGTACATTCTTTTGAAAGGGGTGTGTGTTAGAATTTACCATATATAAAATGTTAGTAATCTCAATAATTTATGTATATATATATATATATATATATATATTACGTGTGATGTATATAATTAAAAAAAATAATAGTATAAGAATAGTAATAAAAGAAATCAGAAATGGCAGATGTGTAGCCCTTGTTAAGCTTTACAACTTTTCTTCTTGGCCCAAACACAAGTTGAATTAGTTATGACCTTGAGTTCAAGAATTGTAAGTTTTAAAAAGATAAAGTAAAAGAAAGAGAGAAATATAGATACAGAAACAAACAAAAATGAGGGGGAGGTGTGTCTCTGCCAAGAGAAAAAAAATTTGAAGACATGGAATGCTTAGGCTTGGTTTGGCATGTTTGAAAAAAGTCAAAAAGTCACTATCCTATTTAAGTCATTTCATCTTATTTAAGTCACATCACCTCTCTAACACATCGCTTCAAATCCAACCTAATCTTAACCCATATTTCATAAAAAGTCAAAAAGTACATTTATTTAGATCATTCCAAACAACCCCCTTAGTCAAGAGAAGGCCATGTGGGCTAGCTCCAACTGACCGTCACACGTGTGGTGCCCTAGCCACACGTGTAGATTCTTGTAGCAGCCAACCTGCAACAATTCCACTTTACCTACACGTGCAATGGCGAAACTTGCCAAACCTATAGCTGTCACGACCCAAACCTGCCCCCTATAGGTTTAGCATCATAACCGGCCAGAAATCCTTGGATTACCGAAGGCCTCTGTACGGATTAACAAAATTTAGGGGCTAGTGGAAGCAAATACGTGAATATAGTTGTCCAATGAGCTGTGCTGACTTACATGAAACAGAGTATTTAAAACTTTATATACATATCCGATAGTCAACCACACATTATACCCATACACATTACAGTATCTTAAGTACAACCAACATAATCAAATCTAGTCTCATACATATACAGAATCAACAGGACCGAACACAGGACACTTCGGGACCCTCCACGTGAGGCGCAATGGTTGGTTGACAACAGAAACACAGTTCCAGACAAAAGCCTTCGGGCTCGATCTCCAGAATGCCCACCTATATATACATATATATATAAACAGTGAGCTAAAAACCAGTAAATAATAATAGAGTAAAGGATTTAATGAATGATGTCCATCATAGAGTTAGAAATCAAATTCTTATCAGAAACTGATTCATATACATATTCGTAATCATTTCCATATCCAGATTTTGCATATAATCATACGTGGTGCATCCCTTAGCGTTAACAAATCCGATGGCCATAAAGGGACGGCCTTGAAGGCATTCTGATGACTCATGTGCACAGAGACGTTTCTGATGACCCATAATGGGACATGATGACCCATAAAGGGACGCATATCATATGATGTTAAGGATGCCACGAATAACTTCCAGAATCTTGGACAATCATTCATTCATTTCAAACATAGCATGACATTTCAGAGAACTAATTACTTCGTATCATAATATTCAGAAAATACTTAACATTAAATATAACTTTACAAAGTTATTACTCACAGATGATCGGTAGCCCTAACTAGATGGTAAGGCGGCCCTTCACTTGTTCTGAGGCGCGTGACCTACATGAACACACATACGAACACACACTTGAAACACATGTTCGAATCGTACACAACTTATATCATTTGCTCTTAGTATGTTTCTAACACTTAATCCTCATTATTATGGCTTAAGTAAGGTTTAGGAATGCCTAAGATGCAATGAGGATGCCAAAACATGCATTGGGACACTTAGGCAAAATTTCTGAAAATGAGGTCCCCGCTCGAGCGTAGCTTTCCTCGCTCGAGCGGACATGCAAAATGAGAGGGGTCGCTCGAGCATGACTTCCTTTGCTCGAGCGACCTGCAAACTTGGAGAAAGTACTGGTTGGTTGTAATCCATGCTCGAGCTACAACTTCCACGCTCGAGCGGATCGACAACATGCAAAGGGTTCGCTTGAGCGTCCAAGTGGTCGCTCGAGTGGAGAGCTCATTTCTGAAAAAAAAATATTGAGAGCTTGCATTCTCCGCTCGAGCGCAGGTTTCCTCACTCGAGCGGACTGTAAAATTCTGGATTTTTCAAAACAGAGCTTGAGCTTAAAAATGTGATTTCCATGGCTATACTCATGTATGGCTTGTTTATAATGCTCGAAAACCTTTCTAAAATATGAACACTTGGTTGTTTACAAATTCTTTTGCTCAAAGCTCATGAATTTACCAATTTGAACTCAAAAACTCTTGCATGGAAGGTTTTCAAACTATGTTCTTGATTTTGCTCAAAACATGCAAATGATGATCAACAACCTCATGAATTCTGAAACTATGAACATGCCCAATACTTACATGCATGCAAGGAATTCCAAACCCAAACTTAAGATAGTAAAATCAGAGGTGTTCTACCATGAATACATATGCAAATCATTTACATGCCCAAAGACCCACTTCTCTTGCTAAATTCATGAAATTGGTTCCAAGATGAGTTAAAATCATGATGCATGGAGGAATAGCTACAGAATTTAGACATAGAATCCTTACCCAAAGCTTTGATTTCAGAAACATGAGATGAATCTCCCAAGTTTTCTTATTCTTCTGCTTCAAACTCTTGAGCTCACTCTCTCACCCTCTGGCTAAACTCTCTAACACAAGGGACCAAATGAGCAAACTACTACACTCCCTCACTCAGCTGAATATAAACAACACACACCTCACTTTGAGCACACTACACGTGCACACGTATGCAAACTTCCAACACACACACACACACAAGGGTTTTAATCCCCTACACTCAACACCACAAGAAGCCCCAACACATTATACACTCAATCACATATTGGGTCATTAATAGGATTAGATTACGTACCAATCATGCATTATTTAAATCAAACATAAGTAACCTTAACTTATTCAGATTAACACGAAATTCAATTAATCCAAAATGATCCCTACCAAGGCTTGACTTAATCACATACGATATATTTATTTATTTATTTATTTTTCAAACCAAATTAATTTTTAATAAAATTTGCCATGGTGTTCTAAAAATTTCAAATAACACACTAATGTAACTAATTCCGATTTCAGATGCCGATAAGCTTTCAATTTTTATATTAAAGCAGATTTCTATAAAGATATTCCACAAGTAACAGATAGGAAGCCAAAGGTCATGCAAATC